CCGCCGCCCCCAGCCTGCAGGCTGGCCCTCCACGCTAGGAAGGAAGGCCCGGGGATCCTGGTCAGGGGACTGAGAGCCCAAACGCTGCGCAGAGGGGCTGAAAGAAAAAAAGGAAAGTCTGCCCTGCCCTGGCCCTGGTCACCACTCCCCGCCCAGACTCCCCACGGCCCCGGGGACAGGGAGGAACCACCCTGCGGCCTCCAGCGAGTCCCCTCCCCTCTGGGCCTCTGTTTCTCCTGCTGAAACGGGGAAAGCTCAGAGGACAGGCTCACAGGGGCCGCAGCGGCAGCAGGGAGGGCGTCCCCTAGCTGACCGCCCCGTCCTGCCACAGCAGGAATGTGCAGCGCCAGCATCAGCAACTTCGAGGAGGCCAGGACCAGCTACGGCACGGATGAGGACATCCTTTTCGTCTACGTGGACAGCTGACGGCAGGAGCCCACTATGCCCTGCCCTGTCCCTGGAGGCCTGGGGCCAGGGCTCGGACGAGGCGCCGCATCCCTGCTGGCTGTTGACATCATCCCCTGGGCCTGAGGCCAGCTCCGCTGCACTCGGGACGTCCGCCCCCACAGGCACGCCGGAGCCCGTCTCCCCACAGACCTGGGACCCAGCCCCAAGAGAGACGCTGCGGGTCTGTTTGTGTGGAGACCGCAGCCAGCCTGGGCCCCGGGGCTGTGCCGGCTCCAGCCTCCCTGGGATCTGAAAGGCAGCTGCCGCCCTGGGCCCGCTGCCCCGCCCCTGCCCCGGGGGCCCAGTCCCTGTGGCTGGTGGCCAGGCCCCTGGCCCCTGGGGAGGGCGGGACCTCAGGCAGAAAGCCCTCAGGCCCCTGCGGCCCTCCTTCAAGGGGACACCTGGGCTGTGGGCAGGACGCTGGCTCCCGCTGGCACCCCGAGGGCCAGGGCCAGCGGCCTGGGCCCCAAAGACGCTCCCCGCCCCCAGCCTGGTACCTCCTGCCTCTTGAGTGCGGGCAGCCCCACCTCTCAGGGCTGGGTGCTGGGGCCCTGGGCCTGCAGGCCTAATCGGCTGGGGGCGGCCTGTGGCCTCCCCCCCGACAGAATGCCGGGTGGTCTGTCTCAGCAGAGGGAGTCGCAGCCCAGGATTGCACAGCATGGACCCTCGCGTGGACTAGAGCGGCCTTCTGTTCTTCCTTTTTCAGCCGGGGGAGGTGTGTGTGTGTGTTTGTGTGTGTGTGTGTGAGGCTTAAGTCTTTTTCTTAGCCGGGGGAGGGTGTTTTTTTTGAGATTGAAGTTTTCACTTTTGGCGAGGTGAGACTCAACCTCAAGCAAGACAATAATAGTGGGGTTGCAGGTACTTTGGAACCACGGACACCTCTCTTCACGGGCAGATAAGCCAGGCCAGGGTCTCTTCCAAAGCCAAGGGGACCTGGGGCTGCAGGCACCCCGGCCTCTCGCCACAGCCAGAACCTGACTCAGGACAGCGGTGGGGCTGCATCTTGAACCTGGGTCTGCGCTCCTGGAAATAAAGGGAAATGGGTCATTCCCAAAAGGGGCTGGGACACCTCCCACCCCTGCCCCAGGCTACCTCTGGCCGGGGGGCCAGGATGCCCCCGTCAGCCACAGCACCTAAGTCTTTGTCGTCTGGTGCCGGAGGCCTGATACTGGGGTGGCGGCTGCCCCTTCCCTGGGCTGCAGACCACCCAGGACCACCCAGCTGTACCGCTCCTCGACCTGACAGGCAGACGCTTCTGGCGAGGCAGCTGCCCTGGCTTCAGAGGCGAGCACTGCCTGCAGGCCCATCGTCCCCGTTGCCTTAACCCTGGGTGGCCCGAGACCCCCAGAGCCCTGGTTCCCATGCCTGGGAGGACCCCACGTGGCAGCTGCAGGCTGGGCGCCCCCGTGAGGGCTCCAGGTGACCCCAGGAAGGGTGGCAGTGTCCAGGGAGACAGCGACAGGAGGGGGCGGCCGCCCTCGGGTGAGGCCCGTACTCGGGCCGGCGGGGGCTGCCCAGGGAGCGGCCTCCACAGAGAAGCCACACTGCCTTTGTCCATCAGAGACGCTGTCCCTGGGGCGGAAGAGCGGGCCTCTCGGGGCAAGCCGCAGGTTAGAGGTCACCCATCTGGAAGGCTCACAGGAGCGGCCTGCCCCTGGGGCCGATGCCGCCTGCCTGGAGGGGTCTCAGGCAGGACACAAACCTCGCCGTCATGTCCTGTTCACACACAAATCATGAAAACGGGGCTGGAGACAGCAGGACTCGGCACCGTGACGCCGTGACCCCTTGGCCGCACAAGGGGGGCGCGCTGGATCATTGGCTGTCTCCCCAGCCACCTGGGGGCGAAAGGGATCTTTTGCATCACACGGATTTTTACACGTGTTAACTCGTTTGTAATGAGCCATTCTCAATAAACATGGTCCTCGCTGAAAACGCTGGCAGCCCCCAGCCCGCCCCTGTGGTCCCAGTCCCCTTGGGACAGCTGCTTCTGAGCTCACACGTAGGTGTGCTGGCCANGGGGGGGGGGGGGGGGCTCATGACCTGACCAGAGGTGCTAGGGTGGGGGAGAGCTCGAAACCAGGCGCGAACACGAGGTGACGAGGGTCGCGAGGGATCCCGAGACCAGTGCACGGAACCTTCCGGAGACCGTCATCTCTAAAGTCTTGTGCTGAGAGCCAGAGGTGTGGAGCTCACTGTGACGGTGCTGTGAGCAAGCCCGCTCGGCCAGCAGGGCGTGCGCAGCCCCCGCCCAGGCAGTTAGCAGGTGCAGAAAAGGCTCTGATCCTGTAGTGTGGGGACCCCATTGACTCAGGGGTTCCCCAAACTGCTTTGCCACACAGTTCGTTTCTATGGAACCCCTGTCTTCTCTGAATGATGCTGACCTTTGGGTAAGCCCTGGTCCAGTCCGAGAAGGAGACTGCGGCCCAGAGCCACTGGCCTGAGCTCATCACTCAGGACTTCCCTAGTGGCCCAGTGGTTGGGAACCCACCTTCCAATGCAGGGCTTGCAGGTGTGATCGGGAAACAGGATCCCACGTGCCATGGGGCAGCTGAGCAAGCAGACGGGCAAACACTGCCTGCTGATCCTCTGGGGACTTAGATCACCGGCTCATCCCTCCAAAGCAAAGCCACTGGCTCCATGGTGACCTCCAACTCCCCCAAACGCCAGGGTTTTGTTCGCTGGTGGGACCACTAAGCTGAAATCCGACAGGTCCATCTGTGGCCAAGCTTCACCCAAGGCCGCACAGCCCCGAACCAGAAGTGGGCGTGGGTGCTGCGCTCGGGCTAGAAGCCCCGGCCGGCCTCCTGCCCAGTAAGCTTTGCTGTGCTTTCACCGGCTCTGCCGCCCGGAAGACGTCAGACTGTCCAGTCACTCACGTCAAGGCGCAAGGCGAGAGCCTGCCCACCCCAATGGGACCCGCTGGGACAAGGCTGGTGACCGCACCTCAGCGCCACCCGCCGGCCACCTGGGCCCGGCCCTGGGCTGGGCAGAGCGGCGCCCCCACCACTGTGGGCCCCACACAAAGGACGTGGCGCTTTCTGACGCGGAGGCTGCCGCCACACGCCGAGAGGTGCTTCTGGCCCAGGGCCGGCCGTCTCTCCTGCAGGGAGGGAGGGCGCCTTGTCCAGAGCTCGGCCCTGAGCAGCACGCCCCGAGCTCCATCACACTGCCCACTGGCCCCTGGGGCTCTCCGCAGTGGACGTTTGTTAGGGTCACGGAGGTGCTGCTCCCATCTGATCAGACAACTTTGGGTGCACTGCTGTGGCCCTTAAAACTCCTCCGTGTGGTGTTCCTGGCTTTCAGGGCCGCCCGCACCCTGACGAGGGTGCACCTTTCATCACAAAAGGTCATCAACGAGGCGCGGGAGTCACGCCCTGCCATCTGTCCATGGGCACCTCGAGCCCTTTGTCAGGGGAGGGCCTCCTCACGGGCCCGGCCTCCCTCTCGGCCTCCCGGTCCACTCACCCTCATAAAGCAGTGTGGTCAGTGCATGCACCTGTCCCTAGAAAAGTCACTTCCTGCAGACATCTGGACGGAAGTGGTAAGAAGGGCAGCAGGACGTATTTCAAACTTTGGGGCTGAGTGCAGGCTGAGGTCTACGCCCAGAATTCCCTCCTCGTCCGGGATTCCCAGCTCTCCTCTCAGGGCCTTCAGCCAGATTAAATCAGGGCTACCCAGATTATCTAGGATAATCTCACTTGCTTGGTTAACTGCCTACAGGCTTAAATCACATTGGCTAAATTTTTTCACAGATTAGCGTCTGATTGGGTAAATGGAGACAGCAGCCCGGCCAAGGTGGCGGCCTCCAATGACTGTCTCCATCCGCAGACGTGGATCTGGAGGGAAGGCTCTCTCGCGGCAGAGCATGGGCTTCGGCGTTCGTGACTCCCAGGCCCCGGAGCACGGGCTCAGCCGTTGTGGCCCGCAGGCTTCTTCCTCCACGGCGTGTGGGGTCTTCCTGGTTCAGGGGTGGAACCCACCTCTGCATTAGCAGGTGGATTCTTTACTACTGAGCCACCAGGGAAGCCCCTCACTTCTTTTTAGAGATACTTATTTGTCTGTGCTGGGTTTTCCAGAGAGATCTTCCATCTTTGTTGTAGCATGTGCAATGTTTAGGGGCAGCATATGGGATCTTAGTTCCCGGAGCAGAGGTTGGACCTACCCCCCACCCCCACATCGGAAGCGTGGAGTCTTAGCCACTGGACCACCGGGCAAGTCCCCCATCTGTCTCGCTTCAAACCAGCCTGCACACGCAGTTCCTGGGATGATCTTTTAATTGAATTTCTATAATCCACCCAACAAAGTCTAACCACCTCAAAGTGACAAAGTGAACAATTCAGTGGATGTGTTACAGTGCTGTGCAACCCTCACCTCCACCCAGTCCCCAAACATTTTCATCCCCGGAGAAGGAAAGCTGGTGCTCGTGTGCCAGCCCGCCTCACCTGCCCAACCTCCCCGGCCGCCCGGGGCACTTTTAAAACCAGCCTGGACAGCAGCGCCATCGGGGAGTCAGCAGGGAGAAGCCGGGCGCGGCAAAGCCGGGCGCGGCAGAGCCTGGCGCCCTGGCCGACCTGCTGCGGGCGGGGGCCGAGGGCCGGCGGCTACTCTTTCACAATCTTGGGGGTGTAGTCGGGTTTGACAGCTTCCGCAAGTTCCCGAGCGTACATCTCGTATCTGCCGGTCATCTGAAAGCGAAACACCAGGGACTAGAGTGGTTCCCGTTTCATTCTAAACGCCCTCATTCGCGCACTTCCACCTGCTGCCACTAGAGGGAAGCTGTGGGACAGAAATGCGACCGGAAGACGGGCTGGAGGCCAGGACCGTCTCAGGCTTGGGTTCGGAGACGCCACCCCTCGGGTGACCCTTCGACACCGATCCCGGGGCGATGGCGAAGATCACTGAGGCCGACGTGACTCACGCCCCCAGCCCCTCCTGCTGGAGCACCTCTGTGATCTTCCACCAGAAGGTGCGGCGGGCTCCCAGGCAGCGGGGAGGAGGGCCGTCCTGCCCCCCTGCGCCCCCCCCCGGACCCGAGAGGGGCTTGACCGGTCACCGGCAGGAGTGGGCCCCCGGGATGCACACCCTGGCGGCCTGGCTCCGGAGGGCCATCCACTGCACGCGGCGTCTCATCCTGGACGCGGGAGAGACTGGGGAGAGGCTGGGGGCGGGGCCGGAAAACCCACCCAGGGCGCTCAGACCCTGTCATTCGGTCATTCGCACCGCCCCCCACCCCACCGCCCCCTCCCTCCCAAAGCTCTGACAGGAGCTGATGCCCATCATCACAGCCTCGGATGGCTTCCGCTTTCAGAAAGTTACTAATGAGAAGTCATTCGGATTACTGGCTCTGACTTCCCATTGGTGCGGAATCCTGCATTAATCTACGCTTCCCAGGAGGACAGAGACAGGAGACCTTCACGTGGGCAGCGCCCTATCGCTCAGAGGAGGATCTGAGACTCAGGGAATGTGCCCAAGGACCCATGCTCACAGAAACAGGACTCTCCTTGGGCCTGGAGCCCACGTCTGGCTGGCCCCTGGCACTCCCCACCCAGGAGTGCTGGGCAGTCATCCCATCGTGACAGTGTGATGTTTATTTGTGTGTATGATCGGCTGAGAAGTGGGTGCGGAGTTGGTGGAAACAACCTGGGAGGCTAACTTGGCAACACTCCCTCTGTGTGCCTGATGCGCTGTACTCCGGGGTGGGGGGTCCCAGGCCGCAAGCACCCTGTTCTAGGAGGCGGGCACTTACAATGCTTGGAGACCCACCACCTTCCCTACAGGCTGTCAGGTCCCCAAGGCCTCGTTTTACAAGCGGGTGCATAAGGCAGGGAGCTGAAGTGGCTCGCAAGGCAGCGGCACCGCCAAGGCCAGAGGCCTATTTCTCTCCTCGACCCACTTCCCTCCATTGTCCGGGCCCAGACCTGGGGCCTGGCCACGGGCAGAGCCAGACACACACATTCATCTTGTGGTAAGTGCAAGTGCCTGGGAAGGAAAAGAGGATTAGCGAGGCCAAGCCACTCTGTTCTCTGGACAAATGAAATTGAGATGAATCTGCTCGAAGGCGCCCAGAATCTAATAAATCAGGTGAGTGGAGAATTTATTGAGGCCTGCTGCCCCGGGCAGTGTTTGACCCCAAGGTTCCCTCCCAGGCCCCAGCCCCCGGCCTTCTGCGCAGCCCAGGGAGGGAGCCACGCGGCTGGCCCCCAGGCCACCCGGAGTGGCGCAGTCCCAGTGCTGGGAGCAGGCCAGGCCGCATGGAGTAGCGGGAGCCTGGAGACCCACCTTGAAGCCCCAGATGTCGTTCACCTGCCGGCAGAGGTTGAGGTCCAGCTCGGCGACCAGAACCCCGTCCCGGGTGCGGGAGAGCCCAGGGGTGCGACTGCCATCCGGGGCCGCCACGTAGCTCGAGCCGTAAAAGTAGCCGAAGTCCCGGTGAGCTGAGGGGCAGCGACCGCAAGGCCCGTGAGCGCATGCAGACACTGGTGGTCTCTGCACCGGGGGACACCCAGGACGAGGGTCCCCACACCCTCTCCAGCAGCTGCTGCGGCCCCGAGGACCTGCCTCCCTCGTCAGGCCTGGACGCCCGGCCACCAGCTGCAAGTCGCCCTCAACGCCCTCACCTCTGCCCCAGGAACCTTTCTATTATTTTTAATTAATTTATTTCTAGGTATTTGGCTGCACTGGGTCTTGGGTGCTGCACACGGGATCTGTTAGCTGCGGCATGCGGGATCTCTAAAACTGAAACTAAAATGCTGTTTTATTGCTATACATACATATATATATAGTTTGTTTGCTTGTTTTCTTTTTTAGTTGCGGCATGCCAGATCCAGTTCCCTGACCAGGGCTTGAACCCAGATGCCCCGCACCGGGAGTGCGGAGTCTCGGCCCCTGGACCACCAGGGGAGTCCCGACCCTGGGAACCGTCCTATAGGCCTCCCTGGCAGAGGTGTTGGTCCCCAGCTCCAGCATCGGCCACCGAGGCCCAAGGGAGTCATGTAGCCCCCGGTGAGCTCGGCCCTCCCAGCCATGTCACCCTCCCCCACTCCGGGCCTCGGGCCCCTCACCAGTAAAGCAGGGTGCTGGCTGCCCCGAAGGTGTGCAGGGAGCATGCGGGCACCGCCCGGGGCCAGCAGAACCCTGGTCCTGTGACTGGGAGCCCCGTGGGGCCAGAGGCTCCAGTCTCCCAGGCCTTGAGTGGGGGGATCTGAGCCCTTTCAGGAAATACTGCTGTGGGAGGCACACCTGCTCAGCCCCCTCTGCTTCCCAGACACCTCCTTGCAGATGGGGGTGGCCCCCTCCCACATTCCAGGCCAAAAAGGAGGGGCCGGGCGTGGCGGATTCCGGCTCTGCCCACAGAGCCAAACGAGCTGTGGGTTCTAGGAACCCAGGGCAGCCATGCTGGGCTCTGGGGGCACTTGGACAGCTAGGGGGTGAGGGGTGTGGTCTGCAGGATGGAATATGCACCCATTTCAGGGAGCTCACAGACGGCTCCCCCACGGCTTGGCCCATCTCCACCCCAGTCCCTACTCCATCCTCATCTGGGGTGCCAGGGGATCGCAGCCCCAGGGTCCATACGAGGCGGGCAGGGGGGCAGGTGTGCAGACGGTCTGTGGGGTGGGTCCTGCTTGGAGAGAGCAGATGGAGAAGGGACAGCCAGGTTCTCCTCCACCCCCCACCCCAAATCAGCCCCACGGAAGGTCACCTGGACATACCTTTCTTGCCATCCCCAGAGGTGAACTCGTTTGGGAAGTGCTCCTGGGAAATAAAACCAAGGTAAGACACACTTGGCGCTAGGAGTGAAGAACCCTCCTGCCAACGCCGGAAGACGTTAAGAGATGCGGGCTCGATCCCTGGGTCGGAAAGATCCCCTGGAGGAGGAAATGGCACCCCACTCCAGTGTTCTTGCCTGGAGAATCCCATGGACAGAGGAGCCTGGTGGGCTACAGTCCATGGGGTCACAGAGACGTGACAGAAACGACTTGGCATGCACGCACAAGACACACCTCTAGGGGGTGTTGGCAGGACACTCATCAGAGCTGGCCTGGGGCGAGAGACTTAGAGCTACAGCGACGTGGACCGGCCTGATGGAACTGGCCCCCTTGAGTCCCAGCCCCCCTAGCCAGCCGGGCATCTGACCAGCCCCGGGGAAAGACCTGGCTTTTGCTTTCAGGAGCTTATCGTCTGCTGTGAGAAGAGCAGCCAATGGCTGTGAGAAGCCATTGCTGAGACTGGTTCCCCGGGGCATGGAGGGCATCTAGGACTTCACAATGCCTAGCCTGCGGGCAGCACAGGCAGCGGGGAGTACCCCTTCTCGATACCTTCCCCAAGACGGTGTGTCCAGCCGGGAGAGGGTGCCACCGCACGCGGGCTGGTTAAAACACCAAGTTTCTTTCCTGTAGACCCACTTAGGGTTATCTCAGGCTGATCAGATGCTCTGATTAGAGTCTGACATTTGATTAGCAAGAATGCGGAAGAGGATTTGTTACGTAATAAATACCGGGTGTTTGTAGTCAAATCTTTCGGTGCCTGAGGTCAAGGTTGGGGGGAGGACGACGGGCAGAAAGCAGGTACTGGGTGGGGGTCATGGGCTGAGAGCCTTCTAAAATGGTTTCAGCTGCAGACAAGACAGGGCTTGGGCAGGGCTAGCTTTCACGACAGGCCCAGCCAGGCTCCCCCTGCCGGGACCCTGGGACTTGGGTCGTGTGTGCCCAGAGGAGCTGCGACCCCGGGGTCCCCACCACGGCCACCGCAACTGCTGCTCCTTCCGCCTGGCTTTTTCTGGGGGCGCGGCTGGGCCTGCTGGTGGCCGGGCAGGTCTCCTGTCCTCACCCCTCTGTCCCCTCCCCGGAGGCCGGGCTCGGGGGCTCACCTGGCCCACGCGGTTGATGGCGCAGGTGAAGCAGTGATTGGCGATGGCTGCATTCCTGGCCTCGAGGGGCCACAGGGACTCACTGTGAGACAGGAAGGAGGGAACAAGCTTGCCGCGCGCCCAGCCTTTGACTCAGCGGACGCTCGGCCCTGAGCTGCGGCCGGGGTGCCATTCTTGCCACAAGGCTCACGGCGCCCGTGGGTGACCCCACACCCACCACCAACAGGCCAGCTCGTCCCCGGCTCGGGCCGAAGCAGCCATGTGGAGGGTGCCCGACGCTCCAGGGGCAGGGGGTCAGAGCCTCGCCCTGGGCCTCCCCAGGCAGCGCAGTGGATAAGACTCCGCACTCCCACTGCAGAGTGCAGGCGTTCGATCCCCGGTCGGAGAACTAAGATCCCGCAGGCCATGCGGTGCGGTCAAAAAAAAATCCTTGCCCTAAGTTTCCTTTTCTGAGGCTTCCCCAGAGCAAGGATGTGCAGACAAGCATGGGCTTGCGGCTTCTGGAAACATCCGTCCCCTTCTCCGGCAACTGAAGCGGCTGGCGGGGTGCTACCCGGCGGGACCCCCTTCACTGCTGCTTCTGCCTCATTCGCTCCCCCCGGGGTGGGGTCAGGAACCCACCTCCCCCAGGCTAGTAAGCGTCAGAAGGGGGCTGGGGGCCTGGGGGCCCTGGTCCCTACCCTTGTGATACAAATGCTGTCTGACTGCGATTCCATGGACGGCAGTCCCCCAGCCTCCTCTGTCCATGGGATTTCCCAGGCAAGTACTGGGGTGGGCTGCCATTTCCTCCTCCAGAGGAATTTTCCAGACCCGGTGGGGGGGTCGAACCCCCAGCTGGCGGGTTCTTTACCACTGGAGCTAGCAGGGCGCCCTGTCATGCCGCCTTGCAGAGCCGCCTGTCTCTACAGGGGAGGATTTCAGGCCCAGCGAACAGTAAGCCTGAGAGGAATTCAGGCTGAAGGCGGCATCACCTCCCCTGAGCTGACGCCCCCCCCCCCCATTTCCCACTTCTGAATCCCGAGCCTCGAGGCGGAGGCCCCCGGCCCCGGTTCTCCTACAGCCCAGGACGGGGACATCCCCACGTGCGCTCAGCTGAGCTCCCCGGGTCCAGCGCCTGCGGGGGTGGGGGGACTCAGTGGGAAACTTTGCTCTGGCAGACACTTGTCCGTCTGCAGCCCACCAGCCAAAATGTGCCACGGAATTCAGCAGGCCTGCTGGTCACTGACGGTCTGAGGAACAGCGCCGTCGGGGTTCTGGATGCAGAGCTGCGATCCCACTCAGAAACACGGGGTGCCTGGGAGCGGAGGGCCCCGGAGCCTTCCTGTCAGCGTGCACCTGGCTGAAACCAGGGAGTAGGTGGAGGGGTGGGTGGGTGCTTGTCACAAGCCTAATTCTCAGCAGCATTCACAAGTCTGGAGGGGGGGAGAAAAATCCCAGCCTTGACGGAGGGACTCATTTTCCTGCTTTTTTTCTCCCCCCAGCTGCTCAGCTGAGCTGACAAAACTTTCAAGAAAGGATTTTTACAGAAACACGCCCGTCACTGACATTTTCGGGAATTAAATAGACAGGTGTGGAGCGGGCGCCGCGCAATAGGCCTCTTGTGGTTCTCCAGGGAGGGTGAGGGGGCCAGGACCCAAGCCCCAGCCGGCAGGACGCCAAGGCTCTCAGACGAGGCCACAGGTTCCTGAGAGCCGGGCTGGGCTGGGCGGGCGGGGTGCACCGGCCCCTGAAATGAGCCACAGTGGGGCAGGGGCAGGGTGGCCCGAGAGGGTGGGAGGGCGGGAGTCTCTGCCCACTTGGGCTGCAGGGCGACTCGGCTCATCAGACCGCACTGTGCCTGTACTGGGTGCTCAGAGCTGGGGGACCCTGCGTGCGGACACCCTGCCCACTCCCGGGATGCGCTCACGTTTGCACGCATGCGGGTGTGTGTGGGGGGTGGAGGGGTGCTGATCCAGGAGGCGGGGGATGTCAGAGAAGGGATGGGTGCTTCTAGAAGCTGCAAGCTGAGGCTGCCGGGCCTCCTGCTTATAAACCCTCAGCGACGGTTCCACTAATAACCCTCCAGGATTTTAAGAAACTCACCCTGCGTCCCACCGTCCTAGTGAACCGCCTGTTACACCGCCTTCCACACTCTACAGCCATCCTCGGCAAGGAGGCTCCTGGCAGGGTTCTGACCCCAGCCTGGAAACGTCCTTTCTGCTCACAGGCAGGGGTCACGGAGCTGCGTTAGCCCCGGGACGGGTGCGCCGTAACCGCTGGGGGAGAGGAGCTGGCCCTGACCACTCTCTCCCTTCCAGCTTTCCCTTTGTCCATCGCGGGGCCCTGAGCAACGTCAGGCAGGAAGCCTTCCTCTGGTCTCACCGACGTGCCCTCAAGCTAAGGTTTTCAGACTGAAATTATCTGGTCAAGGGTGTAAGGGCTTCCGTGATGGCTCAGCGGGAAGGAATCTGCCTGCAATGCAGGAGATACAGGAGACACGGATCCCATGGAAGGTCCCCTGGAGGAGGAAATGGCAACCCACTCCAGTCTTCTTGACTGGAGAATCCCAGGGATAGAGGAGCCTGGTGGGCTACCATCCATGGGGTCACGGAGAGTCGGACCCGGCTGAGCGACGGAGCACACAGCGGGTGAACACTGTGGGAGCCCCCCAGACACGGGGCTCCTGAAAGACCCGTCAGCGTTTCAGCTGCCAGCAGAAACGCATCCTCCTTGGAGGGCACGAGGGGTGGGGCCACTGCTGTCCAAGGAAGGAAGATGGACAACTTTTAATAAGCCGAGGACACGAGCCATCACGTGTGTGTCACGTTGAGCGGCTTCTGTTTGCTTAATTGGGGCTGATGAAAGCCCAGAGGGGCTCGGCTGGAGAGGTGACATCTGAGTCCAGGCTACAGCTGTGTCCCTCCCAGCCTGCGAGCGGCTGTGCTCGGGGCGGGGGGCGGGGAGGAGGTGGGCACTGGCTTCAGGGACCCCTCTGGGAGCTGCAGCTCGCTGGGTGTGTAACACGTGGCCGGCAGGGAGGCTGCTCCAGGGTGTGGCCCCGGGGCGTCTGTCCAGGCTTGCTGGCTGGACGACCAGGAACCACTCTTCCAGGAGACCCCAGACGTGACTGTCTCCTTGTGCCCGATAGCACTCCCCCAGACAGACAGGATGGGCCTGTTCTGTAAGCGACTGGCCGTGCAGATCAGCGTGCTGAGGGAGGGGGCCCCACGTTCAGCAGCAAGCTCGAGGTGAAGTGACAGCCACGTCCCCACATTTAGAAGACACTTAACGGAAATTTCGGAAATCTCATGGCAAGCGAGGGCGAGAGTGACGGGGTGGGCCCCCAGGGGACTGCAGGCTGCCCAGCAGAACTGCCCCCCTCCAGTGGGGGCGGGGACTCCCCTCCCTGCCCCGCCCCCCAGGGACACAGCAGACCCCGGAAGGCTCTGGGGGAAGTGAGCTGGGGAGAGAGGCATTCGCATGCCTCTCTCTCCGGATGCCCGGAGCCCTCCTGCTCCCTGATGAGGCAATGCTGGAAACCACCCGTTGCTGGGGAGGGAGAAGCTCTAAAGGGCACTGGTGCTGGTCCTGGCAGCCCCGCTGCAACCCCGCGAGCGCCCCGGGGGGCCCTGGAGCCCGCCCCCCTCCCTCCCCAGCCCTGGGACAGCCGCTCTGTCTGCTCAGGGATAAGGCTGACACCACGTGGCTGGGTAAACACAGGTGGCAGAGCCCCTTGACCCCTCTCAGCTCGGACCTCTCGTCCGCTCCTCTCACCGGGAGTCTGCAGACAGGAAGCCAAGGACCCCTCCATCGTCACCCCCCCAGGCGGGACGCCCAGGTGGGACAGGAGGGGAGCCAAAGCTGCTCAGGTAACCCCTGATGCTCCGGGCCCTTAGATGGGGAGCTTTCCCAAATCCTGCCAGTGGTCCCTGCCTGAGGCCTCGTCACAGGCAAGGACAGGATTTCGCAGCACGGCCCTGATCTTCAGGATGGTGTGTCCGAGTCTGGGCGACCCCCAGGGACTGCAGCCCGCCAGCCTCCTCTGACTGTGGGGATTCTCCAGGCAAGAATACTGGAGTGGGTTCCCCTGCCCTCCTCCAGGGGGGTGCTCTTCCCGACCCCAGGATCAAACCCGCATCTCCTGCGTCTCCTGCATCAGCAGGTGGGTTCGTGACCATGTAACCCAACTGGGGAAACCCCTCAGCTCTTCAAGGCGGGGGACTGTAACGGACGCTTAAGTTGGCGGACCCCACCACTCCCTGTCCCGGGGCTCAGGGGCGGTGCACATCCCGGCGGTCCCCTGCCTCTGTTCACCCAACCCGCCTCCATGCCCCGAAACCCGGCCCCCAGACCCCCGCCGAGCCCCCTTGGGCCCAGGGACCTGAGCGCTCCGATGGTGGCGGAGGGGTTGAAGATGATCTCAGCGCCGTTGAGGCTGTACATCAGCCAGTTGAGGGGGTGGTGCCGCCCGTAGCAGATATTAACGGCGATCCGCCCGAACTGCGTCTGGAACACGGGGTGGCCCAGGTTTCCCTCCATGTAGTATGTGGACTGGAAGACAGAGGGCCAGGGACGGACGCTCTGAGCCGCCACGCTTCCTTCTGCTTAGGCTTGACTGAGAAATGAAGCATCACCCGTCCTCCCGAAGGGACTGGTATGCCTCTAAACTCCGAAATTTCAGACCACTTAAAATAAACTAAAAATTAAAAAAAGACCCAAACCTGAAAACCCAGACACAGCATGAACAAGCTTACCTGAGGGGAAATCACCGCGGCTTGAGCGCTTGCCCACAGGCCTGTGGTGATATGTTAGAAAGTCCCCAGAGCTACTTCCCGCAGGGTGTCAAGGACAAACTGGGGTGAGGTTTCATCCCAGCACCACTAGAGGCCAAGGCCTGTGGTCACTGCTAACACGAGTTGGTCAGCGTCCTCACCAACCATCTGTCCTGGCCCCGGCTGGGGGGGACACGCCATCACGTGTGAGCTGACCGGCCAACAAAGGCCAATCTGAGACTGGACGTCCCCCACGGCCGGCAGGCGGGACACAGTCCTGCCGACTCCGCCAGCCCCCTCAGGGTGCCGGCCAGGGTCCCACACAGGTCCGCCTCTGCCTCCTCCCATTAACTTCAAAATTCGCCCGAGCTGGGCAGCAGCCAGGATGCAAGCCCAGCGTGGACACGCAAGCAGATCCTGGTGCGCGGAGACAAGCCCGCGCTCTCTGCGGGCAGCTCCAGACTCAGCCCAGAGTGAACAGGCTGGGGGCGCGGTGTCCTGCCCCCACCTCCAGCGGTCCCTGAGGAACGCTGGGTGCTTCTTTCTCCTCGGGGGTCCTCGGCCAGCTATGCATACCCCTGCATATCTGCCCGACTGGCCTGGGAGCAGCTGGGACCCGCACAGCTGGGGAGGGCGGAGGGTGTCACATCCTGACCAGCTGTACTCACTGCAGATCCAGTTCAGACCTCGGATCTCAGGTGTTAGGTGGGGTCCATTTCCCGCCAGCAAACGTCCACCTCCCTCCACCCATGATGGGCGTTAACCGATTAAGACAGCTAACCACTCAGGCCCTGAGTACGGGCCGAAGCCCCAGCCTACACACCTGTGCACACACGTGCGCCCCTCATGGTCACCTGACACTCGGACGTCGCTGACTCAGACCCCACGGGAGCCACAGACAAGGACACCCCCCCAACCCCTGAGCAAGTCCTAAGGCCTTGACGGACGAGGAGCTCAGGGCCTGCAGGGCCCCAGCGATCACTTCAGGCTTGTGCACTATCGCTTCTGGTTTTAACTTACGTGCAACTTTTTCTTTTTCCTCTTTCTTTTTTAAATTATGGAAGTGTGATAACACACTGACAGGAGACTTGGAATATAGAGGACAAAGTTACATACAGTTCCCCTACATATTACGATTATTATTTTTTTTAAAGCAAACTAAAATTTTTAGCTGGAGTTTCAATATCAAACTCTCAAAAAACTGAACAGAATGAACATCCAGAAAAGCAGAAGATCATAGTAGACCTGAAAACATGCTCCTTACTTTCAAGAAGAATTCCAGGAGGCCAAATCAGGTTATATTTTTAAAAATATCAACACATACAAGAACATAGCCCTCTGTGCTAAAGGCGCGTGGGGACTTGCCCGGGACTCCCACCGTATCCCAGTTGCCCGCGTGGCGGCCAGGCTGCTCATGGGCCCAGGCGGGGCAGCTCACCTCGTTGAAGTCGCCCACTCTGGGGATGTGGTTCTTCCTCGTCTTGCCCAGGACCGCTCCGGAGCTGGAGATGACCACAGCCGTGTTCCACAAGACATCCCCGTGGGCCGAGTCTCGCTCCAGGATGGGGGACACCACCACCATGCCATGCTTCCTCGCCAGCTGGAAAAACAGACGAGGCATCACCCTCCTTTCAAATTGTGCCTCGGACATCTTTATAGAAGGATTCGAGGGTCCTCCTAGATAATGTCTGGGTTCCGAGCTCTCCCTACGCTTGTCCTTTTAAAGACCAAATGCCAGCGCTGTTCTGATGCCCAAGCTTAGCTACATAGAACTGGCATCGTCCTCGGGCACTCCTGGTGGGGGTGGGAGGATGGCGCAGCTGCCGTGGAGAACAGTAGGGCCACGCCTCCAAAATTAAACCCCGAACAACCACATGACCCCCTAACTCCACTTCTGGATCTCCCCAAAGGCCTGAAATGCATCCTTTTTCTCTCTCCGCTACAAGTGAGAAGAACAGCTGTTTCTTCATTCCCTTCACCATTTACTATGTGCCACGTTACAAGCAGTGGGTCACAGCTTAGCAACTGAACAACAACGACATCTGTGCCAACAGGTGAAAGACTTTCTCTACTCTTTTTTAGATTTTTTTTTCAGATGGCACGATTCAATGCCATTAGTTTGCATTGCTTGAATATGACATGTTCGTATAATCTTTTTCTCCCAGACATGCTGTAATTCCATCTTTGATTTCTCCTTGATCCAAGATCTAAGAGACAGAGTTTCAGTCTCCCAGTGGCTGCCTTTTTGCATTGCCCTGTGGTGTTGTGGTTTATGCTTGGACGGGTAGTTGCTGGTTGTATGTAATATTTGCCTGGGATCAGCTGGCCTGCAGAATATGAGCTCCCCGAGCAGGGGATAAGCCCTGCCCCTGGCAGGGGGAGTGCAGAGTCTTGACCCCTGGACCGTCATGGAAGTCCCACTCTCCCGATTCCTAGGCATTATACATTTAAACAGTTCTAGTCAGAATCAAATCACTTGACATTTCCATGAGCCGAGGGTCATATCAGCAGTGTGTGGGTTATATCAGGATTTCTGAAACACTCAACATAGCCCTGGGGACCTGCCTAGGGTGGCTAAGGCTGATTTCCTAATTCTAAAGGGTGCAGAGAGCAAAGTCTTATGTTTTCCAACCCTGTGACCCCTCGACAAAGATCACAGACCCTGCAGTACAAATAAATAAAAGCAAGCCTTCACGCCACTTCCCACAGACCTTCAGACCCAGAGGCAATAATGAGACAAAATGAAAAAAGCAGATAAGGTGCGTTGACAAGGGTGTGGGGAAACAGGAACCTTCATAAAACGCCGGCAGGAATATAAATGATGTTGGGCTCCTCACGGAGGCAAACACAGCCACCACAGGGCTGGCAACTGAGTTGGAGCATGTGAGTGCACACGCGTGTTCCCGGCAGCGCTGTTCACGACGGCCAAGGGTGAGCAACCCAATGGTCCAGAGAGCCTGGCATACACGCGCAACCCACTCCAGCATGCTTGCCTGGACAGTCCCATGGAGCCTGGTAGGTCCGTGGGGTCACAAAGAGTTGGACACAACTGAGTGCACACATACATGCGGTGGAGTATTTTGTCATTTTGTTCAGCTGGTCAGTCGTGTCTGACTCTTTGTGACCCCATGGACTGTAGCCTACTAGACTCCCCTGTCCTTCACCATCTCCCGGAACTTGCTCAAACCCATGTCCGTCGAGTCCGTGATGCCATCCAACCATCTCATCTTCTGCCGCCCCCTTCTCTTCCTGCCTTCAGTCTTCCCCAGCATCAGGGTCTTTTCTGATGAGTCGGCTCTTTGCATCAGGTCGACAGGGTATTGGAGCTTCAGCATCAGTCCTCACGATGAATATTCGGGGTTGATTCCCTTTAGGATGGACTGAATGGGGTGTTATCCAGCCTTAAGAAGGCAGGCAGTCCTGGCCCATGGATGAAGTGGCTGTGGTCTCTGATGTGGATGAAACTGAGGACATTACGCCAAGTGAAACCAGCCAGGTGCCAAAGGACCCACACTGCAGACGTGCACTCTGGTGGGGCATCTAAAGTAGGCGAATCACAGAGACCACGTGGGACGTCAGGTACCCGCAGCTGGAGGCGGAGGGAAGTTAATACGTGGCTGGAGGGTTTCAGATCTACAAGACGACAGGTTCTGGAGGCCTGTCCCGTAACGCTGTGAAGGTGCTCACCACGACTGACCTGTACGCTTAAAAGTGCCTAAGATGCTAAGTGACGTGTTTTCTACCACAGCGTGTGTACGTGTATGTGCTCGGTCACGCCACACTCTTTGTGACTGCATGGACTGTAGCCCAACAGGCTCCTCTGTCCCTGAAAGCACCCAGGCAAGAATACTGGAGTGGGTTGCCATTTCCTCCTCCAGGGGATCTTCCCAACCCAGGGGTCCAACCCTCGTCTCCTGCATTGGCAGGCAGACTCACCACCAAGCCACCTGGGAAGCCCTTTTAGCACAATAAAAAAAGAAAACAAGGGATTTCTCCGGCGGTACAGTGGTTAAGACTGCGCTTCCACTGCAGGGGCACAGGTTCAACCTCTGGTTGAGGAACTAAGATTCCACATGCCTCTTGGCGCAGCCAAAAAAAAAAAAAGAGGAAAAAAAATCATCATATGTCTCATCTACCCAAAAAAAACCCCCAGAAACCCAGAACCCAACCAAACGTAACTCTTGGACACCAGATTCCTTTCGTCTCAAGTAAGAACTACAGGATCTGGGGACCAAGACGAGCAGCCCCAGCCGGTCTTCTGTCCTCAGCTCCTACCGGCCCATCGCTACCCCCGACCTCAGTGACAGGACAGAGAGATGGCACGGCAGGATGCCGGGAGCCACACGGGGGCCCTCGATGCAGTCACGGGTCCCCTGGACCAGCGAGTTCCCATCCTCCTCCTGTCCCTTCTTCCTCCTGTCCTGGTTCAGGTTCGCCATCTGTGATCACTTCCTGCCCCGTCCTCTTCCTCTTTTTGTCCAAGGCACAGAACCCCCCACCTAGTGGTTGGGAGATGTCCCCCTCCAGCCTGAGAAGAGGGCTGTTTGGAATCACGGCTCCGTATTGACAGGATCACTATGATCACAGCACTGCTTCAAAAGCCCCGAAGTTTCCGCAGGAATGAAGGGAGTTTTCCGAGGTGAGAACAAGCATAAGCCACTGTGTGGGACGTCAAGGGGGTTTTTGGGGTGACTGCTCCATGAAGACACAATTCACGGAGCATAAAGTCCATTGTTTCAAAGGGCGCCATTCCGTGGTTTGCAGTACACTCAGAGTTGTGCAACCAATACCACAACCTAACTTTAGAAATTTTTTAACACCCCAAGAGGAAACCCCAGCCCCGTGAGCATCCCTGCTCATCCCTTCTCCCTGTTTAGCCCCAGGCAGCCATGGACCTGTTTTCCGCCCCGACACAGCTGCCCTTCCTGGACAATGCACATAAACAGGATTGTGGAACACACATTATGAGGCTTAAATAAAGACAAATGAGGCCCAGTTTCTACACCGAGACGGGCCACGGAGAGAAGCTTCCATAACTCAAGTGAACAGCAAGCGGAGGAGCAGGGCTCTGGCCAGGGAGGCGGCCTTGACCCTGGTCCCCAGCTGCCAGGGCCATCCCTCACTGGCTGCAGACCCTGCTCTGGGCGGGGGGGTCACCCCCAGGCCCCCTCTGTGGGCTGCAGCTCCCTCACTTAATAAGCCATGAAGGGGAACTTCTCTGGGGGTCCAATGGGGAAGAACCGGCCTGCCAAGGTGGGGGACACAGGATTGATCCCTGATCGGGGAAGATCCCACCTGCCGCGGAGCAACCAAACCTGCGCACCCCAAAGACCGAGGCCGCACTCCAGACAATAGTCGGAACCGCCACCGCGGAAGCCGGCACGCCTGGAGCCCGGGGGGCCCAACTCGAGAGGAGCCCCCACTCGCCTCAACGCAGCAACGGAGGCCTAGCACAGCCATGAATAACACTAATTAATTAATGTCATTTTTGAAAAAGCCACGAAGGGCCCTTCTGGCTTTGAAACTGATTTTTTTTTTTTTAAAGGGCAATAAATAGCCTTATCTACTATTATCTGGCAAAACCAGAGCCAGCAGGCACACTTTCCATGGGGAAGGCCCACCCCGGCCTCCGCGGCCGCGCTCTGACCCGCACGCATCCGGCTGCCCCCAGGGGCTGGCTTGCCGGCTGAAGGCCGGGTAGCGTCCTACCTCCTGACAGAACTTGGTGGTGGGCCCGTCCTCCACTGACTCGGCAAATTCCGTCCACGGAAGCTTCTCTCTCGTACAGAAAGCAAAGGGCATCGCTGTGGAGAGGAGAAAGCTCAGAGTCACATCCAAGCGCGGGGCCTCCAAGGGGGCCCCTCGGCCCGGTGGGGGGCGTCTGCCTTCCGAGGCCCACCCCCCGCTGTGGACGACAGGCAGACCTTCCCCTTTTCTGGCTTCTGGGGGTGAGGCCACCCATCCCGCCTACTGTTTTAGACACACCTGCAGCAGAAATCTAAACAAACGCTTGCACACTCAGGCTCACAGTGGCCGAAAGATGGAAACGACCCAAGCGTCCATCAGTGGGTGAAGGGTTTGATGGTGGTCCCCCCGTTCGATGGAATACCATCCTGTAGTCGCTCAGTCGCGTCCGACTCTCTGCGACCCCATGGACTGTAGCCCGCCAGCCTCCTCTGTCCATGGGATTCTCCTGGCCAAGAATACTGCGACGGGTGGCCATTTCCTTCTCCAGGGGATCTTCCTGACGCAGGGGTCGAACGCACGTATCCTGCATTGGCAGGCGGATTCTTTACGGCTGAGCCACCTTATTCAGCCTTAAAGAGGCAGGAAATTCTGACACTTGCTCCAACACGGGTGAACGCTGAAGACACTGTGTGCAGTGAAGTGAGGCAGGCAGAGCAGGACAAGCACTGTGTGCCTTACTGGGCTCCATGTACATGGGGCGCCCGGGACAGGCGGGTTCAGAGGCACAGAATGGAAAGACAGCTGCCGGGGCTGGGGGAGCGGAGAACGCGGGGCTACTGTTCAAGGGGCTGGAGCACCAGTGTGGGCAGATGAGGAAGTGCCACACGTGGAAGGTGGCGATGGTGACGCGACAACGAGCACGCGCTGAGTGCTACAGAACTGAGCCTGCAAAAACACGGTTACAATGGTAACTTGGCTACGTCGATGCTGCCGCGGTTTCCGCCACACGCACAGAGTTCCCTGATGGCTCAGCGATAAAGAATCCGCCTGCCACGGCAGGAGACTCGGGCTCGATTCCTGGGTTGGGAAGATCCCCTTGGAGAAGGAAGTGGCAACCCACTCCAGTGTTCTTGCCTGGAGAATTCCACGGACAGAGGAGCCTGGCGGACTCCAGTCCGTGGGGTCGCAGAGTCAGACACGATTTAGCGACTAAACCGTACGTGAAACAATTCTGTAGAAGGTACAACCAGAAACAGGTCCTGAGCTGCTGACCGACCTGCAGGTTGGCATGAGCACGGCTGAGGCTCCTTGGAGACAGTGTCCGAGGGTCCCTGAGGACGGCGCCGGGACCCTCCCACGTCAATAGGAATGCTCCTTCTCCTGGGGGCCGAGGCCTCTTCAGGAACGAGGAGAGCCGTTCGTGTAATGACCCCAGCAGAAGTCTGGGACAGGCTGGATGGGCTGAGTGCTCCCCGGGGATAAAGGCATGATTTCTGCCCTCTCTGGATAGACGACGCCCCACCATCCGGGGCTAACTCAACAGGAAGCTTCATAACTCGCTGCTGTTTTTGTGCTTAAAAAAAAAAGCAGGGACATACACGTGCGGTAACAATTCACAGAATGCCAGGGCACCAGATTCTCGATGGAGGCTCCCTCTGTGGGGGTGGAGGGGGCTGACACGGGGCAGGCACCAGGGAGGCACGCACTCCGGCCGAGCGTGCTCCGCCGCCTCGGGCACACACTTCCACATCTGCCGGTCTGATGGCTTTCTCCTGCGTCCCCAGCGAGCTGGAGCCCCCAGCCGCGTGTGTGGTCACTGGCTGTTCTGGATTCATCCTCCAGGTGATTTCCTCCGTATCCTTTGCCCGCTTCCTGCCGAACTGTGAAGTCTTTTCCTTCGTGACTTGGAACAGTGAATTCCTTCTTCGGACCAATTCCGTGCAGAGCTGGCCCTCCGTACCTGTGGGTTCCCCCCACCCCCCACCCCGACTGAGGGTGGAAAATGTTTGGGAAAAAAAAAATTCCACAATGTTCCGAAAAAGCAGAACTTGAGGTTGCCACCCAGAGGCAACTATTTACTTGGCATTTACACGGTGTTAATGCCGCTGGACGTCTCTGAAACCGACTGGCCTGCAGGGAAGGTCTGTGGGAAAGCTGTGGGATGTGGCCAAGGAGGACTTTAACTGGTTGAAGCACGGGGCGTGTGTGGCCTCTTTGGGGGTGATCACTGTCGTCAACTGGCGACCACAAACTGGCACCTGCCATGGGGGCTCGCCATCTGCCTCTGCAAGGAGCAGATGATTGTGCCGTGGCAGCTGCTGACCCCCAAAACCCCCTGCGGGAGTTCATTGTTGAGAGCAGAAACGAGGCACTCTGCCCTGGGAAAACTGGCAGGACAGGTCTTCAGTTAGGTATTCTCAGAGGCTGATGTTACGAGCCCAGCTCCTGTATGCCCTCATGTCTAGAAAACCACGAAAATCCTTCATGGTGACCACTGTTCCCCCTGAACAGAAGCTCCACGAGACCAGCAGGAACTTTCTACCAAGGAAACATGCCTGCTTGCATGCACTCCCCCGTGACCAACAGCACATACAGACTGACCTTCCTCCGCCCCCTGCGGAGCAGTCTCTCGGAGCTGTCTGAGGGGTTGTCTGCTGGGCTGCGGTCCTCACACTGCCCCCAATAAAACTTCACTCTCACGCGGTGCATTTTTGTTTTAAGTCATCACAGCCTTTCCCAAACCCGGGCTGTGTGCCCAGCACGATGCCAGGCCTGGTGAGAGGCAGGCTGTCCCGATACCCCTGTGAAGCGAGTGTGACCCCTCATCCCACAGAGCAGGAAGGGGGGCACCAGACTCCCCAGTCCCTTCCAGTCCCTGGCAGCCTGGGGCGACGGTGGTACCGCCACCACCTCGGCCGCCCGGGACGTGGCCCACAGAGGCAGCAAAGTGGGCAGCGGGCTCTGCCAGCAGCAGCCCCGGGGGCCTCGGCAGCAGGCTCAAGACTCCCCAGGCTCCCTGGGTGAAGACGGAGGAGCTATTTTAAGGAACAAAGAAAGATCCTTAACGGCCGCTCACTCCCAGCCTTTAGAGCGTTAGGAGACTCAAGGGCCCCAAGAGGATAGAACCTCCCTTTCCAATTTCATTTCAGGTTGCTAAGCTCTCCACATTTCTCCATTTCCATTTTAATGGTTTCTTTTCCTGTTTTCACAACCCCTGTAGTGTAAACAAACTTTCAAAAGCAGCATGGGGAAGGCAGGCTGGGGAAGACTGGCTGCAAAGTTCTAACCACATTTTCCTAGTCAGAGAGAAAGGGGGTCCCCCATTCACTGAACCAGCATTCCCCGAGGCAGGCTCTGGACTTAGACCCCGCCCTGCCCTCAGCAGATGCCAGCCGAGATGGGGAGCTCAACGGGAACTTGCTGGGGTGCTCAGTTCTGTGAAGGGGAGTCCCCAGGGCCCCACAAAGGAGGGGGTGTCCACATTAAGCCTTGATGGATGAGTGGGAGTTTTCCAAGACAGAGAAGTTGGTTAAACCATCCAGTAAATATTTTTAGCATCTGTCATGTACCAAGGATTATTCAAACCGCTAAGATAAAATGGGGGTAGGAGAAAGAATAAACGGAGTGTGATCCATCCAAACAATGGAATATTACGCAGCCGTGAAAAGGAAGGACAGTCTGACACTAGCAACAGCACAGATGGAGCTTGGAAACATGATGTTCAGTGAGACAAGCCAGACACCAAGGGTCAAACACTGCGGATTCCACCGACACGAGGCCCCGGGAGCAGGCGAGCCATAGAAGCAGAAGGCAGAACATGTTCAGGGAGACAAGCCAGACACCAAAGGTCAAACACTGCGGATTCCACCGACATGAGGCCCCGGGAGCAGTCGAGCCATAGAAGCAGAAGGCAGAACAGAGAGTTTCAGGGATGGGAGAGTTACTGATGAGTTAGTGCAGAGTTTTAGCTGGAGATGACAAAAAAGTCTGGGTCAAGATGGTGATGACAGTTAAAACAACTTTGCGACTGTATTTAACATCACTTAATTATACATTAACCGATAGTAGCAATGTGCGTGTTTTACAATCAACATTTTTTGAATGTTAAAAAAAATGGACGGGGGTGGGGATTGGGATGGGAAAAATCACCACCACCCAGGCACTGACCACATGGAGTTTACAGTCTGACGGAAGAGGCAGACACACCAAAGTGTCACCCAAGAGTGGGCACACACGTGGCCGGAAATGTGAAGAACGGGATGACCTGCTGGGCACGGGTGGCAGAGGGGAAGCACGCCTCTGCTCTCTGCCGGGTGTGTGTCTGTGTGTTTCTGCTCAGTCGCTCAGTCATGTCCGACTCCTCGCAACCCCATGGACTGGAGCCCGCCAGGCTCCTCTGTGCAGGGTTTCTCCCGGCAGGATGCTTTGGGAGAAAGAATTACAAGGCTCAGAGGAGAGACTGAGGCTCGTGAGAAGGAGGAGGGGGTGCTGGGGTTGCTCGTGCTGCTGACAAAGAACCTCTCGACGGACGAGAAGTGAAAGGAGATTTTTAAGGAATCACGTGGCAGATGCTCTCGGTGACGTGGAGACAAGACTGTGGTTTTGCAAGTGGCAGAGCAAGTGTCAGAAGAGGGACTTACTCCACGCCTCCTGGAAGCAGATGATGTTGACTCCACACATGGCAGCCACCTCCACGACGGCCTCCATGCGTCTGTGCAGGGCGGTGACCTGGCAAGTCCAACAGTGAGGATGAGAGCCCATCAGGTTCTGCTGGCTGAGGCCAACTTCAGCGCTCATCCCCCACCAGGCCCACCGCAGGAAGACGCGCGGGGCGGTGGGTTCCAGGATGTGGGACAGCCCTCCGGCCCGAAGCGTGGAGGTGCAGAGGCCCTGGGGTCCCCCGGGTGCTGGACGCTGCCTTGCTGAGCCTGAGTTTCCCCTGTCTGGAGACTGGGGAGAAGGCTGCCCGCCTTGTGGCGCTGCTGAGACGTGAGCTGCTTGCTGAGAGAGGGGCCCACCACACACCAGAGCCCTCCCCGGGTCACCTGCCCCCTCGCCCCCTAGCCCTGGGACCCCAGTCACCCAGGACACTTTGCGCCCGCAGCTATGGGGATGCCCGGTCCTGCCAGGTCTGTCCTTGCGTGTCCCTGATCTTCCAAGGACGCCCAGCTGCGCCCTCTACCAGAACGTGCTCCCTCCCCGACCTGCCCTGCCCTGCGGGTGTTCTCACGAGTTGCCCACGGCGGGGCCAAGAATCGGGGTACCTGGGGTGCCCCCGGCCTAGTGCACCCCGACAGTGGCACCACTCCTCACCGGGCTTTCCTGTCCTGTGACCCCACAAGCTCCTTGGGAGCGGCATCCTCAAATTCTCCGTGCCCTGAGCCCGCCGTCTGCCTCCCAGGAGATGTTTAGAAGTGTTTTTGTTCAGAGACAGAGCAGCGGAACCCGAAGGGGCCAGGCTGAAACCCAGAGACACCGGGTCTCCCCCCACAGGGCCCCGCAGATGCTGCGCTGGGAGCGCGTTTCTAGGTGCTGGGGAGGTAAGGGCCGCATCCCGGCCCCCCATGACCTCCTGACTGGCCAAGGAGACAGATTGGCAACCCGATGGAGGCTGGGGCGGGCGACTCCCGCACCGAGGAGCCAGGCAGAGGCACACGGGCTGGACAGACGTGTGTGCTGGCCGGAGCCCAGGAGGCAGGGTTCCAACGGACAGTACAGGAGCCAAAGGGGCGGCCTCCTCCCTGGCAACTTGAGCTCCATCCCAGGAGAGGGAGGCGGAGGAAGGGGTAGGGGCCCCGGAAGAGAAAGAGGAGAGACACGGCTGGAAGGCCGGGGGGGGACACACCAAGGCAGAGCAGCTAGCCGACCAGCCAGGGACCGGGGTCGAGGCTCTGCGGTCGGGAGAGGCCTAACCTGCTTCACCACGGCGGTGTCCGCGGGGAGCGGGGTTCTGTTCTGAACGAGCCCCACACGCACGGTCCGCGGCCTCCTCTGCTGCTCCGCGGCGGCCTCGAATGCGTAGCCCTGCAGCTCGAAGTCCCCTCGGGAGGCGGCCTCGAGAGCCGCGCTGGGCAGGTCAAGCTTCCTAGACGCAGGAAGGCAGAGGGCAGGTGAGCTGAGTGGGTCCGCAGCACATGATGACACTCGCAGTCACTCCTCCAGCCAAGAAGGGGTGCGCACAGGCGTCCTGGCAGGAAGGTGCAGGAGCTGGCCAGGGCCGCGGCCACGTGTGGGAAGCTGGGGCGGGACTGCAGGACGGGGGAGCCACCCCCACCCCCGGGGCCCGGTGGGCGGAGAACGGGCTTCACCCCGATTCTGGAGCCGGGAGGCAGAGTGGTTGGGCCCCACAGAGGAGGGCAGGGGACAGGGCAGCAGGGAACCCGGCCAAGAGGCTGACGTTCGAGCTGCTGAAATCGGCAGTGGGGGGGATTAAAGTCTCAGCACAGGCGAGAGGGGACGCGGTCCCCCAAACGTCTGCGGACTGGAGTCAGAGGGCTCTGTGAGCTGGCGGGGGGGGTGGGGTCACAGCAGGTTGCAAGGAGACAGGCGAGCAGGAGGCCAGGATTGATAGCAGGACGGAGGGTCATGAGTATCTGAGGACCCCTGCCCTGCCAGGACCGCCAGCAGAGAGGGCAGCTCCTGGCCCAGTGCCAGATGGGCGAGGTGGGGCCCAGGTGTCCAGACCAAAGGTTGAAGGGCTCATCCCGGTGTGTGGTTTATTAACAGAGGCAAGTGGATTATTGATAAAACCTCCCACCAAAGTGACCATAGGCCGAATGGCAAACACTGATGCCTGTTATGCCCCCACCCGGGGGTGGAACCTGCAGGCGAGGGCCCAGGAAGAGCCGACCATCTAGAGGGTGAGAGGGTTACGAAATACCCCGAGAATGCCTCAGAAACTCACCTGACAGCCATTATCTAATAATACTCCTCTCCTCCTTTGAATCTCTTTCTTAACAACGTTTCTTTCAAAATCACAGCCCTGTCAGCCCGACCCCCTGCCACGCGCTTTCCCCGTGACGGCTCCCTGACAGCTCGGAGCTGGGTTCCGCCCCTGACAATCAGCCTGCTTTTCAAACTCGTCAGGGCTCCGTGTGCTCCAGCAGGTTAGAAATAGCTGCAGAACCCACACCTTGCCTCCCGTTGCCGTGGGGGCCTCAGACGGCCCCCCGCCCCCCCAGGAGAAGTCACCGCTGAGGCCGGGGGGTGGGGGCCGGTCGGGCGGGTGGCCCGTCCTCAGGCAGGAGGAAGACGTCAGCTGGGAAAGCTCACCGGAGGTCCGCAAGCCCCCAGCTGTAGGCTGGTCCTTGCAGCCTCTGGCCAGCCCGCCCCACCCCAGCTCCCTGGGGACACCCGGCCCCGATGCCACCACCTGAAGGCTTTCCCTGCCCTCCTGTTATCCTGGCCTGCCGTCACCCCGCCCCGCCCCACTTCTTCCTGGAGAACCCACCTGGCCCTCAAGCTGCACCCCCTAACCGTGTCCTGTGTCTACCAGGGGCTCGGCTCACGGAGGCGGTGGGGCGCCAGACAGCCACGTGGACGGAGCCCAGCCAACAGGCCAGGACCTCACACGTGGGCTCTCTGCTGGCCCTCCCTTGGCACCTGCAGCGGGCTCTCTGCCCCTCACCCTGGTAACTAAGGCCCCCACCCTGAGGGCCTCACTTACGATTCCAGGAAGGAAAGCCCATCGCTTCCTGTCCTGGCCCCACACACCCCTTTCCTGTGGGGTCAGGCAGGCCTTGCCCAAGGGAGCCCAGTCCCTGCTTCCTTGGCAACCTCTGGTTTCTGGAACTTCTCCTTCCCCTCTAATGGATCCGCATTTTAAATAATTAAACTAAAGCTTTGTTACAAAAGAAACACAGGCTCATGGGGAGGAAAAAAAAAAATCAAATGGTGGAGAATGTCAAGTGAGTTCCCCTCCCTCCCAGAACCTAGAGACAGCCCCCTCAGCAACGTCTCCCGTTTCCTTCCAACATTTGCCTGTTTGTGTGTGTGTCACACACAAAGGTGTCCTTCTGTATGTCCCGCTCTCCTGTCTGCACACCTTTTTCACTTAACACACGGTGGACGCCACTCCCTGTCTCCTGCGGACCGACCACAGTTCACCATGACAACTGTTTGAGTCTCTCCTCTCTTGTTTAGGAAGCACCAGCCTTCTGACTGCTAAAGCCATGTGGACCCCGAGGTCCCCATCCTTCCAGACCCCCCTGAGGCGCCTGACAGTCTGTCCCCACTCTGATCTGCCTCCCTGATACTGGCCCTTGGGTCCTGCAACCTCACAACCTTACCTCTGGACTCTCCTACGAAACCTCCGCTTCCTCTGCCCCTAGACTTCTCCTCTGCACCCACCCCTTCACCTGCAACGACCATCTCTAGGACAACCCCAAGCCAGGCCTCCCCCAACCCTGACACCCCCTCTCTAGGGTCTCTGTAATGGACCGCGGGCTGACCTGTGCGCCCCTTCCCCCAGAAAAGATACGCCCAGCGTCCTAACAGCCAGAACCCGTGACTGGGAACTTTTTTGGGGAAAAAGGGTCTTTGCAGACGTCGTTAAGGATCTCAGGATAAGATCAGCTGGTGTTACCTGGGGGGCCCTAAAGGCCAGTGGTGGGCTTTAAAAGGGAGGCCGAGAGGAGAGACACGGGGAGAAAAGAGACTGCAAAGACAGAGGCAGAGGCTGGCGTGAAACCGCCACGGGCCAAGGAACACCAGCAGCCGCCAGAAACCAGAAAAGGCACAGGAGGACGCTGCCCTGAACCAACCGGGACCGTGCCCCTGCCAACACCCTGACTTTTGTACTTCTGGTCTTCAGAACCGTGAGGACACATTTCCTTGGTTGAAGCCACGCGGCGTAAGGCCATTTGTCACAGCACCCCCACCGCGCTGGCCTGCCCCCCAGCTGCAGCTCATCAGGTGAACCCACACGGGCCACCTGAGGGCCCAAGCCCCCTCTGCCAGGCTGGCCGTCAGCACCGCCTGTTGAGACTTCTGGAACCCTTCCTCCTCTCTGCCCGCAGGCACTCTGCCCGCTTTAGGCCTCCCCATCATCCACCTGCCCTTTGCAAGTGCTCTGAAGGCTCCCAGCACCATCAGGACAATCCCTCCTCCTCTGCAGAGGAGGGGCCCCCAGGATCCACCCCGACTACTGCTGCTCCTCTCCTGGGAAAGCCCCCGCAGTATTCTACTCCCACAGCCCCCAAACGGGCATGTCCCCTGCTGTCTGAGCCTCGGCCTGGAGCGCCTGAGCCCCGTCCTGTCTCCGGACCGACCCCCTAGTCTCTTTCAGGATGCAGCTGAAGCCTGGCACCCCAGGTGCCTTCCCCACTTGCCCCAACCCCGTCCATATAAACCCCTCAGCTCTCCCTGCATACTTTCCTGCAGTGCAAGACAACCATCCAAAGACAGAAAGGCCCTCGAGGGCAGGAACTGTGGCCAACTCACCCTAGTACCTCTAATGCCTGAGACAAACATAAACACTCAATAAACGTTTGTTGAATGAATAAATGCTTCTTGATTCTGGCTGTCTTAAACTGTGCCTTGATGTTCTTTGGGGATTTTATCTGTTTGGCACAAACAAAGGCCCATTAGCTCACTCACTTAGTAAACACTGGCTAAGCGTCACCTTTGTCTTGGGGGCAGCGAGCACTCATGAGAGAAGTCGGTCTTGCGTGGAGTGAAGGAGGAGTCCAGGGGAGGATTCCATCAGGCCTCCACAGAGGCAGCCATACCCAAGTTAGGCCATGAGAAAAGAAGACTTTTTTTTAATATATTTTTTTAATGTGGATCAATTTTTAAAAGTCTTTATGGAATTTGTTACAATATTGCTTCTGTTTTGTGTTTTGGTTTTTCGGCCACTAGGCAAGTGGGATCTTGGGGTCTCCCTAGTGGCTCAGGCCGTAAATAATCCACCCGCAATGCAGGAGACCCAGCTTGGATCCCTGGGTTGGGAAGATCCCCCAGAGAAGGGAATGGCTACCCACTCCAGTATTTTTGCCTGGAGAATTCCATGGACAGAGTTTACAGTCCATGGGGTCACGAAGACTCAGGCACGACTGAGTGACTGACCCTTTGACTTTTTGTGCAGGATCTGAGGTCCCCAGCCAGAAACTGACCCGAACACCCCACACCGGAAGGTGGATTCTTAACCACGGGGCCTCCAGGAGAGTTCCATGAACAGACGAACTTTTAAATGAGTAATTTTCTATCTTCACTTCGCAAACTGTTCATAGCCAAACCCCACCCAATCACAAGTACAAATGCTTAAAACCCCAGAGTGAAGCTTGGAAGGGTTTAGCACAGGGTGGAACAGAACTGAGAAGAGGGAAAAGGAGAAAGAATGGAAAAGGGGAACCACTGACTCAGTTACCGTGAGCCGAGCCCCAGGAAGAGGCCTGGTGGTCACTGGTAAATGGAATCTGGCTTCCACTCCAATCCTTCCCTGCTCTGGAGAGATCCAAATGTGTGCACTGAGTGCTTCTTGCAAGGCGGTCCTTTGCCCTGAGCTCTGCAATGGGTCCTGGCCTGTCACCGATGTGGGCACTTACTTCTCTTTTCCCAGCACTCTCCCTGACACCCACAAGCTCTGTCTTTTCCTGGGGGAACTTGCCTGCCTCACCTTTTAAACACTCCCTGCTTCAGGACACCTTCCTTAGGAGCCCCAGTTCTCAGAGGCTTCCCCCATTATGAGCCTTCACAGGTCCCATGGAAGGCGGTAATCCAGCATCAGCCCACTGGAGGAGCCCAGGGCCGGCGGTCCCAGGCACCCCTCTTTGGGTGTGAAGAGCCCTTCTGGACACGGTTCTGTACCATGCTCGCCCCGAAAAGCAGCGGCTCTTCCTTCACCATCCACTAGCTGTGAACACACCTGGGGCTCTGAGGTCCGGTCCCCACCCCTGCCAGAACGCCACATGGGCTGGTGACTGGGATCCTCTGATCCAATTAACCCCCTCCAGTTTCAGGGGAGCTGACCAGGTGCCTCAAGGTCACTGCCACAAGGTCAGGGAGTGTGTGGCGTGGCTGGATCGGGGGAGCCCACAAACAGGCCAGAAAGTGGAAGGATGTCTGGGCAGGAGTCGCGTATGGTCAGAGTTTGGATTTCATTCTAAGGGCCGTGACAATCCCTTGTAGAGTTTTAAGCAGGATATGATTTACATCTTCTGGTTGCTTTGAGAAAAGTGGACTGAAGAGAAACAGGAGCAGAAGGGCAAGTGTCTTCCAGCCCTGTGCTCCCGGCGTCCAGGAGTGCACTGCCCTTGGAAAGTCCTAGCGATGCACACAGCAGGCTGGGAGTGGAAAACATTTGCTCGGAGCATGGGAGCTAACTCCTGGGACCTGCCATTGGGAAAGGTCCCTTTGCTCACCAGATTCAGAGGCCTCTCCGTCCCAGGACCCGCCAGAGGCCGGTCACTGCGGGAAGGAGGAGCTGGGGGCAGGACCTCCAGTGGGCCTGATCAGGGCTCTGGCTGGAGGTACAGACCTAGACAGCCAGCCAGAGGACAGGCCTGGCGCTGGGGAAGAAGCAGATCACTGAAAGCTGGAAAGAAAGCTGGGTGGTCACAGCGAAAGCACAAAAGAGTAAAACTGTCCTTTCCCTCCAGGCTTGTAAGGGTCACGCTGGGTTGTGCCCCTGAGGTCCCATCTGTAGAACTCAGGGTCTCAGCTCGCCAATCCCGGATTCACCACCGCCCCTGCAGAACCCTTCAGAGCCTGAAGCCCCATGTCTGGTCCCCCAGACCCACACCTGCTGGCCCCACGGGGCCCCCGGCCCCCACCCCAAGCTCCCTGCCTGGCCAGTCTGGGCTCCACGCACCTGGTCTCTTTGCCATAGAGAACGCGTTTGACCTCCTGCAGTTCTGCGAGTGGCAGATGTTTTTCCAAGCACCGCTCCAGCGACTCAAACCCGGACCCGGCCATGGCAGAAGTCCACACGTTTGTCCAGACCTAGACTGCCTGCTGCCCTTTGCCCCCGGGAAAAGGAGGGGGAGGAGGCAGTGGCCAGGCTCGCGCAAGCGCCCTGCCCTCTACCCCGGCGCCGTCCGCCCGCGGAGGACTCCTGTGGCACCCCGCTCCCGCGCCTCACGCCCCTGCTGGGCGCAGCCAATCAGCGCCTAGGGCGTCGCTCGTGGCACCGCCCCTCGCCCGTCACGCCTCCGTTGGCACGTGCCGGCCACGCACCCTCCACGGGAGGCCAGATGCACGCGAGACTAGCGCCTCAGCGAGGCGACTTCACGCCGCCGGCCAGGCAGCCTCTGTCAGAGGCCCTCGAGCGGGTACTTGGGCCTCTCACTCTTCTCGCCTCGGGTTCTCGCCCAGAATATTCAGGACGCGGAGAGGTGGCGAGGGTGGCCAGGACACGGCCTGCCGGGCTGCGGCTCGGCCTGCCGCCTGAGGTGAATGGACCTTCCAGCCGCTCCTTCGGACTCCGGCCCAGCGCCCTGGACACGGACTGAGTGTACCGGAGGAGGGGAGCCCAGGTCGGAGGCCGCGCCGCCGCCCTCCGAGGCCTGGTTTCTAGAGTTGGGGGGAGGGGCAGGCCGCGCTGCCCCACAAAGGGACCCTTGCGCCTCCGGGTGGCCAATAACCACGGAGCGGATGTGGTCGGGTGGGTGTCCCCATGGGCTCCCTGGGTGAGGTGGGGAGTGGGGTCCAGACCGCCTCCCCCGGGACGTGAGGAGCCCCGGAGCCCGGGCAGTGCAGCCCGACGGGGCAGGCGCCTGAAGGGACGGTCTGGTCAGCCACCCGCAGGCCTGGCCACCCCAGACGCGGACGGAATCCTCGTGGGGTTGTCAAAGGAGATGGGGAGAACGTGGTGGGGGGCCCAGAGTGGGCGCCGTGGGGCCGGACTGGAGGGATGCTTCAGAAGCCCCTTGGGCAGGTCTGGGGCATTTGATTTGATGCCTGTTCACGGGCAATTTCCGGGCTTCCCTGGTGGCTCAAAGGTTAAAGTGCCTGCCCGCAATGCGGGAGACCTGGGTTCGATCCCTGGGTCGGGAAGATTCCCAGGAGAAGGAAATGGCAACCCACTCCAGTATTCTTGCCTGGAAAATCCCATGGACAAAGGAGCCTGGTGGGTACCCAAGGGTGGAACCAGGGTATACTTCATTTCCCTGCATTGACAGGCAGGTTCTTTACCACTGAGCCGGCAGGGAAGCACCTAGTTCCTTGGTGCGTGCATGTGCTAAGTCGCTTCAGTCGTGTCCGATTCTTTGTGACCCCGTGGACTGTAGCCTGCCAGGCTCCTCTGTCCGTGGGATTCTCCAGGCAAGGATACTGGAGTGGGTTGCCATTTCCTCCTCCAGAGGATCTTCCCGACCCAGGGATTGATGAGTGTTTTATGTCTCCTGCCCTGGCAGGTGGGTTCTTTACCACCACTGTCTGGGAAGCCCTGGGATCAAACTGGAGCACCTTGTGTTGGGAGCACAGTCTTAGCCAGTGGACCACCAGGGAGGTCCCAGTACAACAGATTTAAATGATTTGGTGTGAGAAACCCAAGATGCTTTGGAGCTCCCAGGAAAGGGTGATTTCTGGCATAGAAAGGGAAATAATTTAAGACCTCAAAGGAGAGGCCTTATTGCCAACTCAGAATGCCTCAGAGGGAATTTGAGCCTCCCTTCTTCCGCCCTGCTCTTATCTTCTATTGTGGTATTTCCTAGTTTAGTTAATGTCCTCACTGCCCACTCATTTGCCAAGCCTTTGGGAGTCATCCCCAGCTCCTCCATGTTCTTGCTCCCGTACAATCAAGTTCTGCTAAATTTATCTTATGCCTTTTGTTAAAATCTTTCCCTCTCCCACCTCATGCCTGCAATCATGTCATCTTTTGCTTGAATTGCTGCCAGTCTTCTAACTTAACTCCCTACCTCTTATGTCTATCCTTAGTTGTCCTTCTAAAACTAACATCTTAACATCCTTCATACCCTCTCTTTTATTATCTTCCTGCTTAGAATGACCTGCCATCTTCTGTTTTGTGACCTGTTACTCGTCCTCCCAAGATGAAGCTTACATATCCCCTCCTGTTAAATCTCCTCCAGTTGCTCCAGAAGTTAGACTCCACTAACCCTTTATGGATACCTCTATTAGAGCATTTATCAAACACTATTATGTAATTATTTCTGAGCTCCAGGCAGGAACTGGGTCTGATCTCCTTTTGTATCTTCAGGGCTTTGGCACTCAGTAAATGACTGCTGAAGGAATTAATTCTGAGGGGATCAAGGACAGATTCATTAAAGTGGTGACATTTGAGCTGGACCTTGAAGCAGAAGGAGAAACTATTATTATAGTTAAATTGCTAAATCCATCTTGCCCTGTTGTTCGGTGACAGGTCATTCACCCTAGGTCATTATAAACCAGAGTTTCACAAATATGAAACATGTATTTGAGAAGAATTTTAAAAATTATGTTAAATTTTTTTTATTTACCCAATTTATTTTCATTCTAAATCATAAGATACTTGACTAGATTCTTCTGTGGTAATGAGTAAAAAAGCTAATAGGCTCTGCCCTAGTTTCTCCTTGCAAATCCAGCCAAATCTCAAAGGTTTTAACTACATGCAGGCATACTACAGTGAGGGACTCTTCCTTGTTATGAAGACCAGTACTTTCTGTGGCGATATGGTCTGGTTTGTGGATATATAATAATTCAGGAGTTGCCTACAACCTGAGCAGGAAGGATGGAGTAGGGATCATTTGCTGACATATAGTTCTTTTTTAAAGAAGATTTGAAGCATGTGATGCTAACATTTTAAAAATCTGGGTTTTGTTATATTTTTTGTTTGAAGTGTCATTTTGTAGAGGAAAAAAGAGCCTTACACCAGGAGTCAGGAAGCTTGTAGTTTAGTCTGGGTTCTACCGTTACCTCAGTCTTCCTGTTGTAAGAAAGATGGGGAAGGGAAGAAATCCGGGAATACAGTCTGTAGAAACTATCTAAGCCTTTTCTAATTCTAATAAAATGTGAGTCTAACAATCTAGTCGCATATAAATTTGTCTATTTACATGTATGTCTATGACAGAGTTTCATTATAGAGACTGGTTTTATAGAAAGAGCTGATTTGTTAAAAATGTATCTGTCTTAGGTGTTACCTTTACATTCATAGTGTACATCACTTTCAATTCTTAGGGAAGGTACTTAAGGTCCTGTGGACTGTGCTCACCGACATCTGAAGATTTGGATGCTTTTATGGTCATCATTGGTGAGCAGTCCTTGCACAAGTCACGGCATGGAGGCCCCATCCACCTCCTTTCTCCTGTGAACCAGAGGGCTGCTCGTGACCTCAGTTAGCACTTTACAGCACACAGAAGCTTTTGCCTCTTTTTATCCCAGTATTACTGTGAACTGTGGGGCAGTTCTTGGTATCTGTCAGATTTCCAAGTTAAACATGATGCTTACTGGAAGTAAAAATACCTGCGCCAGTGTCCCACTTGTGGTCAGGCCAGGGGGAGACCGTAAGGGACATGGTTCCTAAAGGCCGATGTCTGGGTGGTTTGTCCCTGTATGGTGCTCCTTAGCTCAGAAATCATAATTCTTCTTCTTTGCTAGGGTGTATTTTATTGTTAATATTACTAAGACTTAAGTGGCTCACATGAAAGAGTTTTGGCAGAGTGCACCCAAGTTGCCTGAAAATGGATTTTGTAGCAGAGCAGGGCCAGCCCAGGCAATATGGTGACATGTGGAGTTTCATGGTTTTTCCCATCATGTATGGATGTGAGAGGTGGACCATAACGAAAGCTGAGTGCCGAAGAATTGATGCTTTTGAACTGTAGTGCTGGAGAAGACTCTTGAGAGTCCCTTGGACTGCAAGGAGATCCAACCAGTGAATCTTAAAGAATATCAGTGCTGAATATTCATTGGACGGACTGATGCTGAAGCTCCAATACTTTGGCCACTTGATGCAAAGAACTGACTCGCTGGAAGAGACCCTGATGCTGGGGAAGATAGAAGGCAGGAGGAGAAGGGGACGGCAGGGGATGAGATGGTTGGATGGCATCACCAACTCAGTGGCCATGAGTTTGAGCAAGCTCCGGGAGTTGGTGATGAACAGGGAAGCCTGGCGTCCTGCTGTCCATAGGGTCATGAAGAGTCGGACACGACTGAGCGACTAAACTGAACTGATGGAGTTTCCTTTTGAGCAGCTTGAACTTTTGTTCCTTGTTTTTGCTTTGAATCCATTGCTTCTTCCTTCATGACTAGCCCTGCCCATCCCTGCAAGGCCTTCTTTACTCTCAGTAAACTTTCATAATCCATCTTAATGTTAGATGACCAACACTAAAATGCAGTGATCACCTCCATTTAGTGGGGGAGATGCTACAGAAGGGAGATCCTACAAAAGGAAGCTCTGATGACAGAAGTGTCAGGTATGAGAAGAAATTCTGAGATGAATATTTAAATCAGGAGAGCTCGCCCCTCAGAAAATGTCATTCAGTAGCCTCATTTTTTTCTGGAATATGACCTATCTGATACATCTTATACATTCCTGTTGCTTCTTACACATACATGCACAGGCTCTCATCATCTGAATTACTTCAACCAACTCATGATCAGTCTTCCTGCCTCCCAACTTCAAATTCCTCCTTAGCCTTGGTTCCCAGGGTGATCTGCTCTTCAGCGGCACTTCATTAGTTTAGGCCAAAGTCCAAGATGGCATGGCATCAGGCCCTCTGACTTGGCCTCATTTTGTGCTATAACTCTTCCCTGCCGTACTCTGGGCTCTAGCGCCATCAGACTGTTTCTAGTTGCACAAACACTCCGCACTGTTTCATGCCTCTGTCTTTGCTCAGCTTTTTCTTCACCCGGAAAATTCTCACCCAGACCTTAAGATTCAATTCAGGTGTCTCCTCTTCAACAAATCCTTTCCTGGCTCCTCAGGGTTGCTTAAGTTCCCACTTCTGTGTTTCCATATTATTGAAGCTATTAAGTTTCTTGAGCTTAGTAGTATGACATGCCTTTGGAAATAAAGTGCTTTGTGTATAATTGATGCTTAACAAATGATTGTTGAAGTAAATTAAACACCAT